TAGGGAAATGATCTAGAAATAGCGATGCTTCAAAGTGTATCTACTGCAGTTCTCATCCCAGACAGCCAGCTAGGAGGAAAGCATTAAGAATCAATCACAACAGACAGAAGAACGGTGTCATTCTTAGAACACAAGAATGATACAAGAAAAACCTCCGCACAATATTATTCTACAAGACTGTTCACATTTCCTTACAAAACTACCTTTCAGTATTTCACGCTCATCATTAACGTGTTAAAAAAATAAGCATTACGAGGACAGTCATTGGCTTTCAGGAATGTCTTTAAATGAGACATGCTAAACAAAAACCTGCAATTTAGGTCTTCAAATGAGCAACCCTCCCTCATTAAACTGATTTTAAAATAAATATAAATACAGAGAAAATAACTTGTACAAAGTAATATCCAGAGACTATTGCGTATTATGGACCTTTAAACACATAACTGCAAAATTAAGGCTGAAGTCTTCATACTAGGGAATTGACTTAGCTTTGTCCTTGCATTTACACCTTTGTAGATCAAGCCTCTAAAATTATTAATTATGTATTCAGTAGTTTGGTCCTGCCACAATTTGTCATAAATTCAGGTAATGAATATAACATGACATACAAAACTGTGTTTAGAATATTTCTGCATTAGAACTGGAGAACTCAAGATAAACTGAAGTCTTTCACTTTTCAGTCTGTGGATTAAATTTTAAATGTAAGTAGTGGATACTGTTTACAGAAGGCCCCTAAAGGCATTAATACTGTAAGATCAAAGGCAATAAACCTTTCTAGTTACTTCTTTCAGTAAGAAGGGACTGCATGCAGCTGACTTTCCTTCCTCTAACAATGGGGTTACTGTGTGCAAGCTTTGCTGAAAGCGTAAGATGTATTGAATGAGTGCTTTAAATCCAGGCTCAGGAATAAAAACCTCAGAATACACTGTGCATGCTCAGGACTATACCACTCTGCCTCAATAAAGGTGCATTGACAGAGCTTGCTCCTGGCACCTGATTTTCCAAAGGGCAAGTACAAAATGCAAACAGAACAGAAAACCCAGAACAGTTCCCACAGAAACAGCCTGCTCCTGGCTACAACTTTTCTTTGAAGCCCCACATGGCCCCATGACCATATAGAAAGCTGCATATGTGGTTACATGGTTGTAAGTATGTATAAGACTCGGCAACTAACCTGACTCTTGTCAGTAAGAAACCCTAAATTCATAAGGAATTGGGAATTCCTCAAGATTCCAGACCCAAGCAGACCTTTAAACAAGTTTTAAATTGTTTAAGAGAGTCTTTTTAATATATATTTAATATTTTTTATAGATATAACACATACATGCACACACACATATCAGTCACGAGGAGAAACTGTTTGTATACCTCAGTAGTACTATGGAAAAAAACCCGTGGAACTACAGTTTTAATCCAGATTCTAGAAATTAATGAACTTTAGTAATTCAAACATTTTAACATTAACCCAGCTCAATCTGAATTGCCTTATCTACATGTCTAATTTATGCCTAAGAGAAACTTTTCATTATAGTATGCTTTTTATGTAAAATCTTCAATGCTTTCAGGAAGGATCTTTTGAGGATTTTACACTGCATTTCAGAAATTTCTTCTTGCCAATTGGAAATTGTTAACTGAGCAAAAGGTGTTATGTACTTTCTGTTTTACTGAGTAACAGGCAAAGGAATGAACCTCTTGAAAAGCATCAGCAGTTAACAGTATGTAATCTGCATAGTCATAGTTTTCACTTACCTTGTACAAGGTTAATATTACTAAGAAGGCATCCCATAAACAGCAAGGAGATAAACTGAATTTTCCAAGAGGTAGCAAAACACTCTGAACCATCAAATTTGATTATCCACAGACAAAAAAGGAAAATAAATACTGTCTGTCACTGCAAACTGTGTTATAACAAATATTTTTGAAGTCTCAAATCCCAGCTGAAAGACTCACATCATTAGGTGCTGCTCTCCTTAGCTTATCTACTACATATTATTTCAGTCTGATGTGTATCTTCTTACTGAATGGAAAGTAATACAAGCCAGACTGTTTTAAATGCCAGATTTCTTATTCCACTAGAATCACTACTGGACTACAGCTGAACTACAATAATTTAGGAATACGCTTTCTCCGGCTTAACCTCCTAAACACAAAGTTGCTGAAGTGACCATGAATACTATGTAGAATTCACCTGAGCGTAAACACAAATGTTTCCTCCCCTGAGCAGACACTCTTGAATTTCTAGTCTTACATCGAAGACTATTTTCTAAATAGTGTATGGCAAAAAAAAGCCCAAACAAAAAAAAACCCAACAATATCCATTGTTGGCAAAAGAGATTTCCTCCATCTGGGAAAAAAAAAATAGAACAACAAAACCAAACTATCTTTTTCTTGAACACAGGCAGAGAGAAAGTAGGTAGCTGGTAAAAAGAAAGCATGAGCTATCAAAAAGAATCTTGAAATCTGATGCTTCCACTGGGGGGGGGAGGTGGAGAAACCCGCAATTCCCACCATCCCATTCTCCTTCTCCCAAGGAAGTCCACAGAGAGGAAAAGCAGACCTAATTCAGGATCTTTAAAGTCCTAGTATCCAAACAGACATTCTACTTTGAGGTACATTAGTAAGACAGCAAGAAATGGCAAAGTTGGTTTTCAGAAGGCTACGTGAACGAGGCTTAAGCAATTCAATTCATAGTGCTCTCATCAAAAGTAATCTTGCCAAGCTGCTGTTAGTTGGGTTGTGGGTTTGGTTTTTTTTTGATAACTAGGAAGGAATAAAACAAGGTATTTTGATGGCATCAATTTTATTGATATTTGCATGCAAGACTGGGGAGTTTCCTAACTGAAGTTTCCAGTTTCCTGCAAAGTAAACCTTTGATACACTTT